TCGGCCCATTTCCCTTTTTGGTTAATTGGCCTGCAGGCCATGCCCTGCTTGGGCCGTGAATGTGTGTGGAGTGTGTGTGTGTATGTGTGATGTGGGTCGTGCCCTGCATGGGCCTCGTGTGTGTGTTTTGGGCTGTATGTGCGTGTGTGTGTTGTGTGAGTGTGTGCGTGTGTTGTGCACGTGTGGGTGTGTGCGTGTGTTGTGCACGTGTGGGTGTGTGTGTATGTTGTGGGTGCACGTGTGTGTTTGTGTACTATGTGTGTGCAGGGCCGTGTGTGTGTGTATGTAAGTGTGGGTTTGGGTTTAAGCCCAAACCACCATTCTTCACCCTAAACCCTTTTAACCCAAAAACCTTAGGATCCTAAAACCCATTAGACCTTAACCCATTCAACCCAAATCCTTTATTTAATTTAGTTCAAGTCCAAATCCTTTAGAAAATCCTTTTATTTATTTATTACATTTTTGTGCTTAGGTGAAGTTGCTAGTGAGGGAATTCGTAATCCTTATCCACACAACTCTACTACTAAGGAGTATCTGTGAGTGAACCCTTTCTAAAATTTGCATAATTTCATAGTTTAATTGCATAAATGAAATGCATGCCTTACGAGCTATGAACTGATTTTATGTTAAGCATGTTTATGAAATATGTTGTTTATCGTCTCGTTTTTTGTGAGCATTTAATTGTTGGCCTATATTGAGCTATATTTTTAAAACATCGTATTTTCTATAAAAACCATGAACTGGTAGACTATCTAATGGATGACGATATGATGCTAGAACATGTTTTAGAAACCCCTCTTTATAGTATAGACGATGAATGACTTTATACTATGAAGTGGTTATAAAGGCGTAACTATTTGTGCGTACCTAGTGGACACTATACCGCCTGGGGCGAGGATTTTGGTGTTGGCAGTTAGGCCGGGAGAAATAATCCCTAGCTACGGGCTGAGGGACACGGAGCAGGCATTGGGTCGGGAGTTGGTAATCTCTGGCTACGGATGCAGAGATCACAGTGATGGTATAGGGCCGGGAGATATATTTAATTCAGTGATCTTACTAGTAGAACATTACGCTAAGAGACGATTTATGAGACGTTTGATTTTTTGTGTTTCATGATATGTCTCTTGAGATATTTTTGGCATGCTAGGATTTTCATTAAACTTATAACTTAGTATGCTAATAGTTTTCTTTATATAAACTGTGGGGGTTAGTATCTTGATAACTATTTTATTATTAGTGTATATATGAACTTGGTCCACTCAACTTTGTTTTGCGCCCCCCATTCAGGTCTTAGAAACGAGGACTACGACATAACGTACGAGGCATTCCCCTACCAGTAGCAATCTATCACCCACTTGTGTGATATCCTGTAATGATCTTTCCTTTTATGATCATGTTTTAGATTGTGTTCTATGCACCCTAGACATTTCCTTAAACTTTGTTTATTACTTTTAGATTATAATGTTTATTCATGAAATTTTCCTCCTAATCATTACTCTTGTAATCAATAAATGGCTTTCGTTACCCTCATGTGTCGGCCAGCACTTGCCTATCCGGGTATTTAGAGAATATCGGGGTTGGGACGTGTCAGACCGTGCCATGCGCGACGGTGGTGCGAAGCCGGGCTTACCAAGCACCATTAACTAATCCCCCTATCCAGTCTGTCTTAAACAAGAAAATTGTTACGAGTTCCCCGCCAAGTGAACTTAGGACCCGTGAATCCTAGATCAATAAGCTTCATGTTGTCCATGAATTCCTGCAGGTACCGCGGTCATGAAAACAATCCTTGAGACCCACCTTCCTTCTTGAAGTCCTATAGAATTTCATTCAGGTTTCCTCCACAGAACCACGGCCTATCCACCGATTCCAATTCCCGCGAGATCCATCTCCAAAAATCCCCCTTCTGAGCCCTATAAGGGTTACTATACATCCAGGAACAGTGAATCAGATTCTTTGACGAGTTGAGTATATTAACCTCAATCATGCCATTCCACCATAGACTCAGCCTCATGCAGCGCCTATAAGGGGAACATCAAATCCTTCCTGATAACCCATCATTCTCTGCACACCTTCAATCTTGTGGTGTTTCATTTTGGTTTTTGAAAGAAAAACCACAGAGGATCTATACTACCTAATCAGCCTATGGAAGGCCCAAACCACTGTGTCCGACCCAAGACCACGGTAGTTCCACATCAGAAAAATCATGGCGATTTTGCGGTTGTTTCGGGCCAACCGCCACCACCATATTTTGATTCATTGACTTCAGTAGCCTTTCGGTTCCAGTCATCTACCTTCTGGATTGGGACTTCCAAAAGATCTTCCTCCTCAACGGGTGTACACATGCTATGATGCCTCCCTATTTAATAGTTAGCCCCCTTGTCGATCGCCTCTAACCTTTCCTCATTCCACTACCCAAGCTACTACCCCCTACCCCCACCCTTTACCCTCTTGTTATACTCCCTAGAGTTGGCCCTCGGCCCCTCGACTGCCCGCTTCATTCCCAGCTTCCCTAAGACATCACTAAGATGGTTATTCTTGGTACCTCCCTCAACTAATTCCGGCAGTGAATGTTGCAAAGCAGGTAGGTTGGGAATAGTAGGCCTTATCCCTGAGATTTCAGTTTTAGCATTAAGCATGGTTGACCCAATCACACCAATAGATTGCCTAGCTTGCCTCTGAGTCGGGCCATCACTAATCAGAAGTTGAGGCCCATCAGTTTGTGGCGACCTATGCATCTCGTGCCCATCACTGCCACTCTCGCGGGCTTGCATAGAAGAGCTTCCCATCATAGCCGTGGCTTGCCTTTTTTCCCTACTCTTTCTAGCACACATTCACTGTCCTTGAAAAATCACCTCTGGTATGGTAATCTTCTACACATCACGAACCATCTTCGTTCGTGTCCACTCACCATACCCCACGACACTGTTCATGTTTGGTTGAAAGTAGCATTCAACACATTTGTGCCCAATTCTCCACCTGTATAATCTTCAATTTAACCTAGGAGTTGTATTAATCTTTAACCTTGTATTTAGCATTGATTCGATCGACAATTCTTTGACACAAACTCGTTACATTACCCAACACCAATGGTCCAACACGATCGTGTTGTGTCTCATTACGATGAGGATTGAGTATGCTGAAAATTGAAAGAGCACTGGCACCCTTTCATCAAATTTCACTTTCATCATAATGTTCTCGTTGCTTTCTACATGATTGGCCACAGACTCAACTTTAAGAATAATGCTAGGCTAATTAATTTTTTAAATTATATTTATAAATCATCTAATGTGTCACTAATAAAATAAGCATATTAATAAATACTTAAATAATATTTCAATTATCAATAATCGCGTTATATAATTTACAAAAGAATTTTAAAGATAATCTCCTTAGCATTATCCCAACTTTATACGGTATGAAATGGAAATTTGGTGTTGTCTTTGTCTTTTGATGCTCAAGAGAAATGCAGCCGTGTGGCACACCAAAATGGACAACGGGATGCTTAGGTGTCATGATGTGATTTGTGCAGCCAAAAACAAAGGAATAAGGACAACGACAGGCGTGTGAGATGTCTAGTGTCGTTTAGTTGTAAAAGGAAAACTATGTCTTTTGTGTCGTTTTTGTTGTGACATGACAAGGTATGTGCCATAAGAAAATATGGACATCGTCACGTTGTCGTCCGCTTCTAATTCTGATTTGAACTAAATGCTTTGAGAGGCCTAGGCAATTGGGCTTTTATTAGCTAAAAGTAAGGCCTATTTTGAAAGATAAAAACCCATGTGGCCCATTGTTCGCTGGCTAATCAATTATTGATCGCTTGATAGCTAGTTTGGTACTACTATGCTTTGAAAAAAAAAAAAAAACTATTTTTGTTATGATATAAGAATAAGCAGATATGAAATAAAATAATAAAGTGTTTTTTTGCAAAAAAAAAAAAAAAAAAAAAAAGCGAAAAAACCTATGTCATAGTATTTGGTATATTTTATGTAAAATAGACGCGACTGTTTAAAATGAACAAAAAAAGATATAATACTAGATGTGCTATTGATTTATAGTGTTTGGTAAATCTCCTAACTAAGTAAACATTTTGTATTAGCTGACATATATGATATATCAAAGAGAACTTGATGTATCAGAAATGTTTGGTTCCTTCTAATTACTCTAAGTAGGAAATTTTAATAGTTCCATGAACGTATATATTGGATCTTTTCATTCGTGCTTAACGATGGGAGAGATTTAGGGAACTTCAATCCGTAAATGAAAAAAAAGTTGCGAAAACTTCCTTCTATTGAAGATGAAGAGATTTAGGGAGAGATACAATGAAATGGGAACGAGATTTTTAGTTTTTGGTACTAAATGGTTGATATCAATGTGTGGAATGAAACATTTTATTGAAAATGATAACATTAAAAAATAAAAAAAAACTGAACTAGACTAATTGCGATTTAGTTTGGTTTAGTCCAAAATTGTAGTATTTTAGTATATAAAACCCAAAGCAAACAACTCGAACTAGTGTAATTTAACATGTTTCAATGGTTCGTGCAACTTTTGTTTTGTTTTACCCTTTACTCTCACTAATGTATACGGGAAATGATCTTCGCATTTCATTTTACCCCCATTGCACTCTTTTTCTTTTTTTTACATTCAAAAGAAAAAAAAGAGCGAAAATGCTGATAAAGTGTCACCGATGTTGTTGATGACTAGGCAATATGGTAGCTACACAGATGATGAGAAAGCCAATTTGCTTTGGACTGTTGACCCAAGAAAATATGTCCCATGGAACATGAAAATGACATCTCCTCCAAGATACGAAGCAACTTGGAAAATGGTCTTCCCAACAAGGCCGTCATCGGATCTAATCATCAACCTTTTTTGTGTTTTGAGGAATTTTCATTGGTAATACTTAATGGGCCGGGCTCATTAGAATCAGTGGCAGTTTTGAAATATCACAACAAATACAGTACCAATTTTGTCACAAAAAATCAAAAGGAAAAATCGATTAACGCGACCGTCTTTTTACCTCAAACTATTGGCATCTCTCAGCGTCTCCGTCGTCTTCCTATTTTCCTGCTAATCGGAGAAGAATACGTCGTCGTTTTCTAAGGCTTCCCAGTCTTGGTCCTCCGAATTCGTGGTTTTCTGATTCTTCCCGGCGCTCCTCACGATTGATTCCATGGTCTGATCTTCCGCGAATCGCAATCCGACTGTGGCGATGGCGTCGGCTCAGAACCAATCTGCGAATGTGGATCTCTTCGATGCGTATTTCCGACGAGCAGACTTGGACCGCGATGGCCGGATTAGTGGCAATGAAGCCGTCGCTTTCTTCCAGGGCTCCGGTCTCCCCAAACAGGTCCTTGCGCAGGTACTCTCTCTCTCTCTCTCTCTATATATATTTGTATATGCTTGTATATATATGTATAATTGGATGTGTATTGTAGTGTGTGTATAATGGGATGCGTATTGTAGTGTGTATGATTATATTTGTGTAAATAGTGGTTGATCGGGATTTGATGCTGGTGGAAATGCGTTCCAAATCAGATTGATTTTGAATTTTTAGTCTAATTGTAGTTGAAGTGGTTAATGTCAGCTCGGGATGTCGTAATTCTCTGATCTAAGCAGAGATTTTATGCCGTGTGAGTGAAGGATTTATACTACAGTAGTGAGGTAGAGAGTTTTTAGAAATGTGTTATATGACCCAGGGATTGACCAAGGGTTGTTTATTACATTACAATAATGTAGTAGTGAAAACCTGCAGCATAAGATGACTATGGAACAGTTAGGATTGTAGCATACAAGGGAAATGTTCTTAGGTCATGATCATATCGACAAATAGGTTCTTGAAGCTGTATATTTGGTTTGCTGAAGGAATTTCCGTATAAAATGATAACCGGGGGCATAATATGTTAAATATTGATTATATGAATGCACTTTCTCATTATCTTTTTGTAACAGAAGTTTGGATCTGTTCTAATTTATATTGGTTGCTTATGTTTATTGGCAGATATGGGCACATGCAGACCAGAGGCAGACTGGATTCCTTGGTCGGGCAGAGTTTTACAATGCCCTTAGACTTGTCACTGTGGCACAAAGTAAGAGAGAACTTACGCCAGAAATGGTGAAGGCAGCATTATATGGCCCGGCTGCAGCTAAAATACCTGCACCCAAGATAAATCTTGCAGCGACTCCTGCCCCTCAGTTCAATTCTGCTGCAACAGCACCTGCCACTCAGGGTGGTGCTGTCACTCCGACGTCCTCGCAAAATCTTGGGTTCAGGGGACTGCAAGTAACACCTCAGTATAGTTCTTTTGGAGCAGCACCTGCCACTCAGGGTGGTGCTGTCACTCCAACAGCCTCCCAAGATTTTGAGTTCAGGGGACCACAAATACGATCTCAGTTTAATTCTGCTCCAACAGCGACTGAGGGTGGTGCTGTTACTCCAACAGCGACTCAGGGTGGTGCTGTTACTCCAACATCCTCCCAGAATCTTGCGTTCAGGGGATTACCTCCAAGTGTGAATGTGAACCAGCAAAATTTCATTTCTCAAGATGGAAAGTCAAATAGGCCTCCAGTGCCTCCATCTAGTTCTGACTCCCAACCCACACAGGGTGCTGCTGCCCCAGGCTTTCCCAGTGGAGGTTCAGTGGGTGGTCCTCAACCACAAAATTCAAGCGCGTCGAATGATTGGGTTGGTGGAAGGGCAAGTGGATCAACGACCGGGATACCCTCGCAGGTTGTAAACAAAGGGATCGCTCCTTCTGCAATACAAGATGTATTTGGGCAGGCAACATCAGGACCAACAGCTTCCCTACCACCTAGGCCACAGGCAGGTTCTGGGATCAGACCACCAGGACCACCGACTAAGGATTCCAAACCATCAAATATATCTGGGAATGGCTTTGCTCCCAACTCATCTATTGGAGTCGATGTGTTTTCTGCAACCCCATCTCACCCAGAGCAGAATTTTCCTCTTGGCAGTGTACCCGTCTCATCAACCATTGTGCCAGTATCTGCTGGGACCCAGTCTTCAGCTAGCCCAAGTACACAGGTTGGTGGGGAGCCTCAGCCGTCCCAATCATTTGCAAAAGCAAACAACCAGGTCTCAGCTCAGACTAGTGCTAGTCGAGTATCACCTGGAGCTGGGAACTCTGCTTCTAGTCAGTCCCATATGTCATGGCCTAGGATGATTCAAACTGATGTTCAAAAGTACGCCAATATTTTTGTGAAAGTTGACACAGATAGAGATGGGAAAATCACTGGTGAACAAGCCCACGACCTATTCCTGAAATGGGGCCTACCAAGAGGTAGTATTATTTTCTTTGAAGTCATCTTTTAGCTTGCGTTTTACAGGCACAGGTGCCATGTGGTTATTGAAGCTCTTTTCTTTTGTTTGTTTCTCTTCTATGTTAGCTTGTAACTAAACTGATGCATCTTTGCAAAACATGTACTATCTGTATCCTCAAGTTAAAGTTGTTTATGTTCCTCTTCCGGGTGGTGGATTGGCAATGTTTAGTTGGTGACACTTAGCCTGAATTCCTGAACATAACAGGCTAGATCAAGCATCTTTTAGCTTGCATCTCATCAACCGTTGTGATGTGTTTGTATATTGATGTAAAACTTACTTGATGCCATAGATATTTTGGTAGATATAAAATTATTTTTGGAAATCGGAGTAATTTTTTTCTGGACAATTGACATACAAAATCCATAAATACTACCTATCATGCCACATTATCTTGAAAGAGAACATCGTTATTGCATGTGAAATTTCAGGGTGTGTTAAAAGCTCATATAGTGCACTTCTTTGAGCTGATAGTGCAGGCATGGACACTGTCCATAGTTACAGTTATGCACCTATATAGTATGACCACAAACATAACTTTTGGAAGCTATAAGTTCCCCCACTCTTAACTTTATGCTTTGTTTACATCTGTCAGAGGTTTTAAAGCAGGTGTGGGATTTATCCGATCAGGATAACGATAGCATGCTTTCTGTCAGGGAGTTTTGTGTTGCGCTATATTTGATGGAGCGGTTTAGGGAGGGACGCCCTCTTCCAGCAGTGCTACCAAGCAATGTTATGTTTGATTTATCCAATATTTTTCAACCTGCAAATAATTACTCCAATGCTGGCAATATAGCCTGGAGACCTGCATCTGGTATTCATCCATAAAACAAATCGCTTTTTTTTTTTTTTTTTTTGAAACCATACGTCTTTCCTTGATGGAGAATAGTTTCTTATTTTTCACTTTCAAAGGCTTTCAACAACAGCAACCGATGCCTGGTCCTGGTGCTTGGCACATGGCGCCCCCAGCTGGAGGAAGGCCACCGAAGCCAGTTGCTCCTTCTCATGCTGTGGAAAGGCAGCTGGCCAATCAGCAGAAGCCCAGAGTACCAGAATTGGAGAAACATCTTGTAAATCAACTGAGTACAGAGGAGGTTAACTCGTTGAATTCAAAGTTCAAAGAAGCAACCGAAGCTGATAAAAAGGTACTTAGAACTTTAATGTTTCCCCAATTTTTTCAGCTTCAGCAGCAAAGTGATGTGTGCATGTTACATTCCGATAAATGTCAAATCATAACAAATATCCCAAAGACTTGGAATTCTTGTGATTGTGAGCTTTGATTTGCTCTTAATATCGCTCATTTCCATGGGAAAGATTTTGATCAAGTTTAAGTAGGGAGGCTTTTAGGGTTTTGAAGTTCATGATCAGTTCATTGATATTAGTAATTTTAATGATTGGCATTCCACAATTGGCATTCCACAATTTTTTAGTGCATGGCATTCATTATACTTTCTTTTTGATACAGCATTTATTATACTTTATTGCTGTTTTGTTCCATGTTCAGCTTGTTTTTCCTCAACCTTTCCATTTGTTCTTTGCAGGTAGAAGAACTGGAGAAAGAAATTTTGGATGCTAGAGAGAAAATTGAATACTTCCGGGTCAAAATGCAGGAACTTGTGAGTATCTCGTGTTCTTTTCTGCCCTTTCTTTCTTTATGCCATTGGTTGTGCATATTGAACATTCTACAGTAGTTTTAATTTTTGCGTTTGAATATAATTGTTCTCGATTGATAGATTTTTGGACGTCCTAATCCTTTGTTGCTTTTAAATAATCTGCAGACTTCTTACTATTTGATCTTTGCAGTGGTTTAAGATGCTTTTTTTGAACAATTGGATGTTTGTGGTCTGAATTAGTATTGAGTCTTGAATTGACAAGTACTCTTGAGAGAAGGTGCAGATCATGTGTTTTATCATTGTCCTCTAGCTTTATATGTGTGTCTGAGATTGTGTAGGGAAGGAAATGTAAGCTGGGTAATTCCTGCAGGGTACATATGTAGTTTGGTGGTGATATGAAGGCTTTTGTGAGGGTGCAGTATGCCAGCAATTTATTGGGGGTTTCTTGGTTTGAGAGAAACATGAGGGTTTTGGAAAACTATATATTTGGGCAAGGAGTAGTTATGGAATAAAGTTAGATTTTTTTCACCACATTGGCTTAGTATTTTCTCAATTTCATGATCTATATTTCTTAGCCATGTTCTTTGATTGGAAAGATGCTGTTTTTGGATATTCTATGTTGAAGTTCCTGTATGTAGGAAGAAATTGTATTGTTCATGTAGTCTATTTTTCATTGTTGTCCGTTTTAAGATGGGGACAACTTAGCCGAAGAGGTTGCACTGTTTGAATAAAATTGTGTTGAGGAGCTTTGGTAGGCAATTTAAAGCATTCCTTTGTATGCACCACAATGGTGATGAAATAAAGATCCAATTTGGTTGAACGGGGAACTGGGGGTTGGGAATATTTTATCATGTGTGTAAATTAAGACCACATTCTTACAAGATAAGTTTATCTTCCTTTAGGCTCGGAATATTTTAGAAGGCATTCGACTCAAAAATATAATAATTTTTTATCTAGCTACTAGCATAAGGAAATGATGTTTTTAACTTTTAGTTTTTGAATGCGGATTCTGCATAATTGTGAATGCTGGTGCTTTATTTTAAGTCTCACATATATAGGGTGTGGCGTTGAAACTATGATGTATACCTTGTTATATTTGCTGTAATATATTTTCTTATTGGTATAAGGTTTTGTACAAGAGCAGATGTGACAATCGCCTCAATGAGATCACAGAAAGGGCATCTGCTGATAGACGTGAGGTATGCTGTTGGATACTTGAGACTAAGCACGTATTTGCATCAATCTTTACCTACTGTCTTGGCTCAATGAATATAACATGAATCTAGGCTGAGTCCCTGGCCAAGAAATATGAAGAGAAATACAAACAAGCTGGAGATGTAGCTTCCAAGTTGACTATTGAAGAAGCCACGTTTCGTGATTTACAGGTACCTTTCACCACATATAAATTTGTGGACAATTAGTGACCCCATGTCGTGTATTTGCTTTTGCTCATTCGAAGATCAAGGTGTCAAATGCTTGCTGTTTGTTTTGTTAGATCTGAGTCATAATTGCCTGTACATGTGATGTGAGATGGTGTGCTTTTATTTTTTATGAGATAAGTGCCAATCAAAATTAATAAACAAGTATGAGTAGGACGTTTTACTTTTTGGAGAAACAAAGAGAATTGTTTTATAGTTTTTAGGCTTGTTGGGATAGATGGCTGATGACAGGGAAAGTAGTGTGGGAAAATAGAATCAGTTGAATGGTCATACCCCTAGCAGTGTATTCTTTTTATTATCAGTGGACTGATTATCTTATGTGATTTATATGCAGGAGAAGAAAATGGAGCTATACAGGGCAATAGTCAAGATGGAGCAAGAAGGTGATGGTGATGGCACGCTTCAGGTACCTTTGCACAACCTTGCTGTTTAAAAAATATCTTTGCTCAACTTGTCTAAGATCATTTTCAACTGAAATTTTCAGGATCGTGTTGATCACATCCAATTAGATCTTGATGGGCTTGTGAAAACTCTCAATGAGCGCTGCAAGAAGTACGGTTTACGCGGAAAGCCTACAACATTAACTGAGCTTCCCTTTGGTAAGTTGATCTCTTAGCTAATTTCTTGGGAATCTAAGTATACTACAGATAATCATAAGAGTACTTACATTAGCTTATTCTTTATCAAACTATCTGATGGATTGTACATAGAACACACTGTTTTTGTATATACTTTTGCTCTGGGTAGTCAAATTATTTCAATTTATTAATAGCATTGCCTTTCTAGAAGCCGAAAGTCATTCTGTTGCTAAATTATCAATATCCTACACAGAAACCCTTATTTTCACTATTGTAATCTTTTCCTAATCACTCTGGTTTGTTTGATTATCAATATTCGTATTCTATGTAGCTTTCATGAATGTGTCATTTTCTTTTTTGTTATTGTTCACTGCTACGGTATTTGTACTATGTTGCATTTTGTGATCTGAAATTTTATTTTATTTTCATATAGGCTGGCAACCTGGCATCCAAGAAGGAGCTGCTGACTGGGATGAGGATTGGGATAAATTTGAAGACGAAGGTATTGCCAAAAATGAGTTATTATAGGTCCAGTATTGTCTCTGAGATAATAAATTTCTTGTAGCACTTAAGATTCCTTTTACCTTTTCACCTTTTGGTAAATGGATCATATTGCCTACTTTTTGTAGTTTTTGTCGTCTGGTTGTGGTATGCCAACCTGTTTAGGAGTTTTAACTATTCGAGGTGATTGATTCAGAAGTTTAATTGTCAGGATTCACTTGCGTCAAGGAGCTCACTCTTGATGTGTCAAATGTCTTGGCACCTCCAAAACAGAAATCATCATCAGTTCAGAAAGAAAAAGCTCCCCAAGTTGAGAGTCCAACAACTGCTTCTTCACTTAAAGTTGATGTTAAGTCAGAAAAGCCTCAAAGTACAGATGCCAAGGTTGTTGAAAATGGAGCAGCATATGATAAAAATGAGGACGAGTCAGCAAAAAGTGCTCCGAACAGTCCATTTGCCAGCAGTACTGTTGGAAGCCCATCTAGAGAATTTTCAGATTCTAACTATGGAAAGACAACAGATGCAGATGCCTCACCCCGTAATAAGGAATCTCAAAGGTATAGTTCTCGATTTCTACCTATTTCACCCTGATAGGTGCAAAATTGTTGATATTCTAAACTTTCATGCTCAGTCATGATCATGCGGGTGCTGGGTCTATATATTCTGGCGACAAAGGTTCCGATGAACCAGCATGGGGGACATTTGACAATAATGATGATGTGGACTCGGTGTGGGGTTTCAATGCAGTTAGTACCACCAAGGTAAGCCGATATTGTACATTCAGTAATTTTTTTTAATTTTTTTTTTATATTTTATATTTTTTTTTGTTTTTGTATTTTAGAGTGCATTCAGTATTTATTTATTAGAACTCAATTGTTTGACCTTATGTTTATTCTGACTGGATATTGCTCCATGATTGCTGTTAATACCACCTAGTTGTTTGTGGTGGTGACCACTTATCCTTGTTTTAAGCCTAGTGTCCTAATGCTTGCTGAGTTGTTTAGTTATTAAAGATGGTTCTGGGAATTGTAACATTATTTGAATAGTTTCTATTACCATTCTGATGGTTTCATCATGCAAATCAGTTAGTAGTATGGGTCTTTCAACCAAGTATGGCGAAACCGAGTTTCCTGATTTTAGTTTTGGTTCACTGTAGATATAAGAAGAAGGGGTTGCGGGATTGTTCTTGGTGCAATTAATTGCACATTGAAGGGGACTCTGATTTAAGCCTTAGATCTTGGTTAATCTTAGTCAAGATTTTTTTGTGTTGACAACTTGACATTGACAAGAGATGGTGCCATATTGCGCACACTTTTCGAATATTGACAGTTTCCAGGTTAACAATGTATTAATCATTGTTAAAAATAGTGACTGGAAAAAAGAAAGTTAAATTTCAAGTTAAAAAACTAGCATTCATTGTCATGTTAGAAACACTTCTTGTTAACATTTTGTAGCCGATGGAAAGTTTCCATTATTTTGCACCTTCCAAGTAGGCATGGATTCTAGGTTCCAGTGAATCCGCTTTCTTTTCTAATAGCATGTCGGTTACATAGCACTTTCAAGCTTTTTGTTTTTGTGGTTTTATATTTGTTGTTATTGCTGGCATGCTGGATTGTGCTGTAACTGCTCTTAATCGTGTCTGATGTAGGACATGGATCTGGAGAGTAATAAGGATCACTACTTTTCTGGCCCTGGGGAGTTCGGCCTCAACCCTATCAGGACTGGGTCATCACAAGGAGGTGGCTTTTCCCAAAAGAGCCGCCCTTTTACTTTCGACGATTCTGTTCCTAGCACACCACTCTCAGCCTTTAATTCAGGGTATTCACCGCCAAGGTACAAGGATAGCTCAGAACCTTCATTTGACACCTTCTCTAGGTTTGATTCGTTCAGAAGCACACAAGATACTGGATTTTTTCCTCAACCAGAAACACTCGGAAGATTTGATTCTATGCGCAGCAGTAGAGATTTTGATCAGGGTAATGGTTTTCCAACATTTGATGACATCCCAGACCCTTTTGGCTCTTCGGCGCCATTTAGGTCATCGCTGGACAGTCAAACTCCAAGAAGAGACTCGGACCCCTTCGGATCGTCAGGTCCATTTCGGACGTCACTGGACAGTCAAACTCCGAGAAGAGAATCAGATTTTTTCGGGTCTTCAGCGGCGCCGTTTAGGACATCATTTGACAGTCAAACTTCAAGAGGAGACTCGGACGCATTTGGGTCCTCTCTGTTTAGGACATCATTCGACGGTCAAACTCCAAGAAGAGACTCGGACCCATTTGGGTCTTCAGGGCCTTTCCGGACGTCATTGGAGACTCCGAGAAAAGACTCTGATCATTGGAGTGCATTTTAGTTAGGTAGTTGCTCGGCTTCGTTTTTGTGTCTGCTATTCGCCGTTCCAAGCCTTTCTATCATGAGTGTTACGGGCCTTGGCCATGTTTTATGCTTGAAATCTCTGTGCTTGTAATGTGTCTTTTGTATTTCATTTCTTTGTGTATGCATCTCGCATTGTCTTCATTCTTTTTCCTTTAGCTTATAATTTTTCTCCGTAATTTTGGAATGTTCCATGTCATATTGAAGCAAAGACCCCTATTGTTTTATCGTTACAAATTTGATGATTGTATTATTAAACTGGGGCTGTGCCTTTCTTTTTTCGACCTTAATTTGCTGTAATATTTTACCCCCTTAATAAAATATGTTCTGCTGATCTTTTATTTGTTCAAACAAGAACACTGTGTTTTGCCGGTGTTAGTCCAATTGGTCCGTTCCTATTTTTCGCTCATTGCAGTTCAGCCATCGAACCATTGCAAATTTTTGTAGTGTCGAATGTTTAAACTATCGTGCTTGGTTGTGAGATATTTACTTTGCCCTGAGCTTGACGTATTAATTAATGTCTAAGTTTATGTTATAAAGGCGAATGCCAAGATGCCGCTGGATTTGATCAAAGATAACAAACATGATATTACACACACTTGTCTATAACATTGCGCTTTATAATTTATAAACAATACTAAAATAACAAGAGCCTTGCCTGTTTGTCGATCTTATTTCTTGGACGGACAAGTGAGTGCTGTCCTTGAACTTGCCTGTGTCTTCAGCGCCTTGCAGCCTTGAGCTCGAACATTACATAGCACTGGGAGCTCTGGCAAAGATTGAAGCTGCTTGCAGCCGACTAAGTTGAGTTCAGACAACCGAGAAGCTCGTTTGATGCTTGCAGGTATGCTCCTAATCTTGGTTCCGGACAGATATATGCGTTTCAATGAGGTTGAGCAAACGAGACCATTAGGGATTACCAATATACCGCTGTCGCTGAGATTTAGTTCTTCTAAAGAGAGAAAACCGGTGTAGGTGAAAGGCAATTTTTCAAGTTCCGGACAGTCATACAAGTAGAGACGTTTAAGTTGGTTAAACGGTAGATGCTTGTTGGGATAACCTTAAGGTGCTCGCAGCCACGAAGGTCTAAAGTTTGAAGCCCAATTAGATTTCCAAATGACGAAGGAAGCTTTTGTACAGCTGTCCATCGCAAACTAAGAGACACCAAATGTTCCATTGGCTCCAAGATCTCTGGGAAATGTTCAAGTACAGAGCACCCATCGAGATTGAGTTCCTTGAGATATTTCAACTTCCAAATGTGGATTGGTAAACTCACAAGACTGCCGCAACGAACCAATGATAATTTAGTTATATTCAAGAAAACTCGCACGAGTTATGCAGCCATCTTGATCAAAACTACCAGAGAATTTCAGCTTACAACAGTTATTTGGAAGTTTCTCAAGGTCTTTGCAAAGAGTTATATTCAAGTAAGAAATGTTTTCGTTAGACCACACTGATTCAGGCAACACCTTTATACCACTTTCTTGTAAACCCAAGTATTGAATCTTTCCTGGCATCTTTGGAAGATACTTGAGGCTGGTGCAGCCTCCAAGATTAAGATGAGTAAGCTTGTCAAGATGTTGAAAACACCCAGGAATTTCAACCAAACTAAAACAGCCGCTGACATTTACGTTCACAATTTTTCACTTTAAAAGGCTTTCAACAACAGCAACCGATGCCTGGTCCTGGTTCTCGGCACATGGCGCCCCCAGCTGGAGGAAGGCCACCGAAGCCAGTTGCTCCTTCTCTATGCTGTGGAAAGGCAGCAGGCCAATCAGCAGAAACCCAGTGTACCAGAATGGGAGAAACATCTTGTAAATCAACTGAGTACAGAGGAGGTTAACTCGCTGAATTCAAAGTTCAAAGAAGCAACCGAAGCGGATAAAAAGGTATTTAAAACTTTAATGTTTCCCCAATTGTTCAGCTTCAGCAGCAAAGTGATGTGTGCATGTTACATTCTGATAAATGTCAAATCATAACAAATATCCCAAAGACTTGGTATTCTTTTGATCGTGGGTTTTACTTTGCTCTTAATATCGCTCATTTCCATGGAAAAGATTTTGATCAAGTTTAAGCAGGGAGGCTGTTAGGGTTTTGAAGTTCATAATCAGTTCTTTGATATTAATAATTTTAATGATTACATTCCTCATGTTTTTAGTGGATGGCATTCATTATACTTTCTTTTTGATACAGCATGTATTATACTTTATTGCAGTTTTGTTCCATTTTCAGCTTGTTTTCCTCAACCTTTTGATGTGATTCCGTTTGTTATTCGCGGGTAGAAGAACTGGAGAAAGAAATTTTGGATGCTAGAGAGAAAATTGAATATTTCCGGGTCAAAATGCAGGAACTTGTGAGCACCTCGTGTTTATTTCTGCCCTTTCTTTCTTGTAAGTCATTGCTTGTGCATATTGAACATTCTACAGTAGTTTTAATTTTTGTGTTTGAATATAATTGTTCTACGAGTGATAGATTTTTGGACGTCCTAATCATTTGTTGCTTTTAAAAAATCTGCAGACTTCTTACTATTTGATTTTTTTCAGTGGTGAAAGATGTTTTTATATTTTAACAATTGGATGTTTGTGGTCTGATCTGAATTAGTGTTGATTCTTGAATTGACAAGTACACTTGGGAGGAAGTGCAGATCATGTGTTTTATCATTGTCCTATAGCTTTATATGTGTGGCTGAGGTTGTGTAGGGAAGGAAATGTAAGTTGGGTAATTCCTGCAGGGTCAATAAGTAGTTTGGTGGTGATATGAAGGCTTTTGTGAGGGTGCAGTATGCCAGCAATTTGTTGGGGTTTCTAGGTTTGAGAGAAACATGAGGATTTTTTAAAACAATATTTGGGTAGGGACTAGTTATGGAATAAAGTTAGATTTTGTTCACCACGTTGGCCGAGTATTTTCTCAATTTCATGATCCATATTCTTTGATTGGAAAGATACTGTTTTTGGATATTCTGGTTTTTATTGAAGGTCCTGTATGTGGGAAGAAACTGTATTGTTCATGTAGTCTAGTTTTCATTGTTGTCCGTTTTAAGGTGGGGGACAACTTAACCAAAGAGATTGCATTTTGTTGAGGAGATTGGGTAGGCATTAAAGCATTCCTTCTTTTGCACCATAATGGTGAGGAAATAAAGATCCAAATTTGGTTGAACAGGGAACTGAGGCATGGGAAGAATTTATCACGTGTAAATTTAGACCACACTTTTAGAAGATAATTTTATATTACAGTAGGCTCAGAATTTTTTACAAGGCATTTGACTAAAAAATGTAGGACTTATATCTAGCTACTAGCATAAGAAAATGATGTTTTAAACTTTCAGTTTTTGAATGCTGATTCATATTTGCTTTAATCTGTTTTCCATTTGGTATAAGGTTTTTTGTACAAGAGCAGATGTGACAATCGCCTTAATGAGATCACAGAAAGGGCATATGCTGATAAACGTGAGGTATGCTGTAGGATACTTGAGCCTAAGCACATATTTGTATTAATCTTAAGTTACTGTCTTGGCTTGATGAATACTACATGAATCTAGGCTGAGTCCCAGGCTAAGAAATATGAAGAGAATTACAAACAAGCTGGAGATGTAGCTTCCAAGTTAACTATTGAAGAAGCCACGTTTTTTGATTTATAGGTACCTTTCACCACATATAAATTTGTGGACAATTAATACAACAACAACAACAACAAAGCCTTTTCCCACTAAGTGGGGTCGGCTATATGAATCCTAGAACGCCATTGCGCTCGGTTTTGTGTCATGTCCTCCGTTAGATCCAAGTACTCTAAGTCTTTTCTTAGAGTCTCTTCCAAAGTTTTCCTAGGTCTTCCTCTACCACTTCGGCCCTCAACCTCTGTCCCGTAGTCACATCTTCGAACCAGAGCGTCAGTAGGCCTTCTTTGCACATGTCCAAATCACCGGAACCGATTTTCTCTCATCTTTCCTTCAATTTTGGCTACTCCTACTTTACCTCGGATATCCTCATTCCCAATCTTATCCTTTCTCGTGTGCCCACACATCCAACGAAGCATCCTCATCTCCGCCACATCCATTTTGTGTACGTGTTGATGCTTCACCGCCCAACATTCTGTGCCATACAAACATCGCTGGCCTTATTGCCGTCCTATAAATTTTTCCCTTGAGCTTCAGTGGCCTACGACGGTCACACAACACGCCGGATGCACTCTTACACTTCATCCATCCAGCTTGTATTCTATGGTTGAGATATCCATCTAATTCTCCGTTCTCTTGCACGATAGATCCTAGGTAGCGAAAACGGTCGCTTTTTGTGATCTTCGCTAGATTGCTCCGGTCATTAGTGTGGATAAGTATATAAATGGATAGAGACAGGAAAGCAAACACAAGATGTACGTGGTTCACCCAGATTGGCTACATCTACGGAATAGAGGAGTTCTCATTAATTGTGAAGGGTTTACACAAGTACATAGGTTCAAGCTCTCCTTTAGTAAGTACAAGTGAATGATTTAGTACAAATGACATTAGGAAATATTGTGGGAGAATGATCTCGTAATCACGAAACTTCTAAGTATCGGAGTGCGGTATCGTCTTAACTTGCCTTATCTGTCTCATAGGTAGATGTGGCATCTTCTTTGGAAGTACTCTTCCTCCATCCAGGGGTGGTATCTTTAACTGGTGGAGATGCACAAGGTAATGTATCAATTTCACTTGAAGCTTACTTGTAGTTTCAGGCTTGGTCAAGCGCGATACAAACCATGTAGTAGGAGTCCCCCAAGTCGCCGAGCTAGGGATCTGCTGAAAGGGTGACAGACAAGGTAAGCAATCAGAGCTCCGGCTGATTGTTCACATTCTCCCTATCTTGCAGGCAGCATGAAGGATAAAGAGAAGAAAATGAGAAGAGATGATATGGGATACTTTTGCTTTTGAAGAAGTAACTTTCCACAGGCTTATTCTTGAACTGAGCTGGAGGGTTTTCTGGTTTCCTCCAGAGTATAAGGCCGACTGAAGAATTTGAGGGTCAAAACAAGTCCATCAAATCTAGAGTACGTTCGACCCTGCTGATATGGGATACTTTTGCTTTTGACAGAGTAATGGATGTATCGGCACGTGTGCTGTTACGCTTGTCTCCACATGCTTCCTTGTATCCTTCTCACTTGCCCTATCTGTTCCTCAGGCAGATGCGGTATCTTCTCCTGGAAGCATAAGATGTTGAAGATGAGTACTCGAGAGCAATGGCAGGTAAGTAATCAGGTAAGGGGTTCCAGGCAGTCAGTTCCTGGGTGGAAGCTTGATTCCAAGTGCTGACTGATTGCTCTCTTTCTCCTTGTCTTGCAGATAAGAACAAGGCCAAAGGAAAAGACAGGGAAAAAGC